AGAGAGCTACTCCAACCCACGCGCAAAGATCTACATCAGCATTGTGAGGTGTGATCATTGTTTCGTTACAGTTACCAGAAGCATCAGATTTCCATTGCTAACAATGTCAGGTGACCTCGCCTTTATTGTCTGTTTTGTTCCTAGAAATGTTATTTTGAAGATGTCTATTCTTGGAATCCTTTGCTTTTACTGGCTGAATTTTTTTCCCGACAATATCTCAGTAGGTGCATTAAGAGATCATTTTATTATGGGTTACTAGCAAAGCATGATTATGTGTCTCTTTACTCGACTGTAATCTTTTTATTCAAGTGTTGGGAGTCCTTTGTGGGGCAGAGCGTGTATCGACTGCTGATAATTGACTTCATATTCTGTCTGCTTGGCATTTTCTTTGGGGAATTCCTACGCAAGTGAGTCAAACACCGCAAGTCAAGTACATTTTGGCTGTTGATGTATGTCTGCAAAAACCACGTAACCATTTAGTAGACAACTTCCACATTAAACCTATAGTAGAAACCCATCTGCTGCAACAGTGAAAAATATTCTGCAGCTTTAGTGTTGTTTCACAGTTTCCATATTATCATATTACCATATTACAGTTTCAATCGATAATAAATAGGCCACCTGTTCCAAAGTTTGGGGTTGGTAAAATTTTAAAAAGGATTTGAATTATCTTATGCACTTAGGCTGAATATATATATACTGTATATATATGTGTGTGTGTGTACCTGGTATTTATCACGTTATGGGGACCAAATGTCCCCACAAGAATAGTAATACTAGTAAATTTTGACCTTGTGGGGATATTTTTGAGGTCCCCATGAGGAAACAAGCTTATAAATCATACAGAATTAGTTTTTTTGAGAAAGTAAAAATGCACAAAGTTTCCTGTAAGTGGTAGGAATAGCAATAGCACATACAGTTTGTACAGTATAAAAACCATTACGCCTATGGAATGTCCCCATAAAACATGGAAACACAACATGTGTGTGTGTGTGTGTGTGTGTGTGTGTG